GACACAACAAGTAATGAACAAAAACTAAGAGTGACAAATACGAAAATATTAAACTGATAAAATTTTAATTAAAAAGCAATTAAGTCAAATTAGATTTTTCTTCAACAAATTCAAATATACAAAAACATCAATTCATAATTCAAATGATAATTAAATAAATTTCAAGAAATTTACTTTAACTCCAGAGTCTGAAGATCCAGCAGCAACAGCGCCAATCTCCGAACAACCGGATTCAACACTGAGCTTCCGCTTCAAGGGATTGGAATTAGGATGCCTAGGAGGTAACGGACTCTTCATTATCTTCATACCGGTAACAGCCGGTGAAGAATTCAGATCTGAAGGAGGAGCATTCTCTTTAGACGGCTTGTTCTTCCGATATGGCGGTGGCGTCAGCCATTTCTGCCTCGCAGAGCTAGGGTTTGGACTCAACATTGCTTCTTGATTCTCCCTTAAGATTGTGCTTCTTGGTTGTACTGAATGCTTCATTGTTTGTACAGAAATGGTGGATTTGGGGGGTTAGGGTTAAGGAAGAAAGAAAAACTAGCCGTTAAGAAGTGATGGGATTTGAATTCAAATAGGGGAAAGAAGAAGAAGGGGTAAAAAGGTATATGAAACTATCTGAGCCGTTGATATTGATCAAACGGTTCAAGTTGTTGGATTTGAATCGGAGATGAATATTTTTGAATGGTGATTCCCTAGTTATTATGTATGGTTTTATAATATATAAGTATATACGCTCTTGTTGATCAATTATCAAATCGTCTTTTAAATATTTAATTTATTGATAATTTTTAAAATTCAACTTATTATAGAATGATATTAATTTCGAAAAATTTAAAAATGTTTTAGTAACTATTTTTTGTAAAAAAGATATAATTAATTCTCTTTTTCTTAACGAAGATTTGATTCATAGCAAACTTTCATATTTTTATGACAAAATATAAAAAAATTTAAGCCATTTAAAAAATATAAATAGTGGATAAGTTGAAGTATATAAATATGGACGCAATAGAACGGAATAATAGTGAAGGTATGAGTTGGATTACGAAGAATAACTTTCTTCCCTAACTATATATTCAAGTTTTTTCGTCAATTTTCTAGTAACCTACCTTTCCTTAAAAGAAAAAAGACTAAGATTAAAAAAATTAAAACGATTATCTTTTCTTAAACTAGATCAGGTATTAAATAATCGATTTCATCAATCAACTTTATTAACCAACTTCATTGTGTTGAACTTTTACTCTTTTGCTTATTAACCTTAGAGTTCTTATCAAGATAATGACCAATAATAATCCAAAATCAAAATGCAATGGTTCTGATATTACTATTGTTGTTTTGTTATTGTCATACTTGCAATAGTTTTTATATTCGCTCTCATTGGATCGTAATATTTAATATTAATGTTTGGTGCCTTAATTTTTTTTATTGTCGTGTATAACTATGCTTATATTAATAATGTACATATGTTTAAACAATATATCAAATAAGATATTTAAAATATATATAAAAAAATTTGATGCATACAATAAAACAAAGAAAGTAATACTTTATACTTTGCCAAAAACCTAATTTTAAAAGTTAGAAAGGTGTCTTCTCTGACTAATTATTTTTCTACTATTTATTTAGTTAGTTTAAATAGTATGAATCACGGCGTGTCCCAATGACAAGTTCTTACACTTCAGTCATTATTCACCCGTTGGCCAATCGATGTTCATCCTCAGCCAGGATCAAACTCTCTATGAGATTCATATATAGTTGTATTATTTATATCTTTCTTGTTTGTAGACAAAGCAAATTTCAGAGTTATTTTTCATTTACAAGACACAACTTGTATTCATGCATTTTATATTCGTCCGGAGTTTGCTCCTAGAAATATGGTATAGTCATTTTTGCCCCTTGCGTCAATCCCACAAGTGTCTTTTCATTCTTATTGAATAACGGCAGTGGGAGCAAATCCAAGTAGAAAAATCCACGTTGGGCTTTAGAATTGATCAAACTCGAACTGCTGATCAATTCCATCATGTCAAGGTGACACTCCATCACTGAGTTATATCTCATATGCCTGCCCCATCGAGAAAAAGGAACTGATTGATCCTAAGTCAAAGGGCAAGGAAACTCAACATTACTGTTCTTGAACAACTTGAAGCCGAACCTTTTTTTCGTACTATTACAAATATGAAAATAATGATCAAAATTGAATTCAATTGTCAATTGCCTCTATTTTGAAATTGGATTGACTATCAATTTTGAAGGAATTGGAACTATATCTTTTTCATTAAAGAGTTGTTCTACGTATTCACGTCCCTTTAAGATATGAGAACTGAGATATCTAATATCAAAAATCAAAAATCGTTTTTCAATGTAATAGTATTATTGGTATGCGCAAAAAAAGCAAACGGCCACGATTCTCCTCATCTACTGCAAGGGGGAAAAAAGTTCATTTTATGTGTCAGCTACAATTATTAGACCTAAAGAAACAATATTTTGTCTTCTTGGTTAACTTTTATGTTATCTTTCACATTTTCCCCATACCTCTTTGTTTTGAATTGTGTGGTGATTATAATAGTGTGCACATTTCCAAATTGACTCTTGTGATGGAAACAATATTTTTCCAAAAAAATTCCTTTACACTTCAACGAACAAATAAAATTAGAAATATTACTCCAAAGTGTGTGACACTGAACAGCGATTTAAAGAAGAAAAAAAGAAAATCATTTCATAAATTACTAAGACAACTTTGGAACTTTCAAACGAATTTAGATAAAACTACGTATGTATTACTGATTATTTACGTATAGTAATCTTAATTTGCTCTAGGTTGAAGTGTTGTAAATCTCATGATCGAGCATCATTGGATACAAAATTATTTTTTTTATTAGAAAACATTTATTCTAAACGCGAAATAACATGAAGAATAAAATATTATATTGAATTGCATAAAATATTTATATGAAAATGACTGGAAAAAGAAAAAAAGAAGACGTTTATTGAATTTAGAAATCACGGATTCCAAGACCTGTTTTTGATTCCTCAGTTTTTTGCTGTCATCCAGTGTTACTTGAGCACTTTATTATATACTCTACTGTATTTTCTTTATTTTGATCAGAGGATATATTGTGTGTAAGAAAAATAAAAAAATTTAAACTAAATATATATGTGTATAATACTAAAAAAATTATAATTATAATTCTTGAATAACAAAGTCGTGATTAATTAAGTGAATCCAACTTATTTAAATTTGAGTTTCATCTTAATTTGGATTTTTTAAAAAAGTTGTGTGCTTGTGAATTATAGTAGATTTCAATTTGAAAAAATAAATAGTGTTCAATTCAATTATATATCATCATCAAAGCCAAACTAATAATCATAAAACAAAAGTTATCATACATCTATACTTAAACAGATCAATTGTGTTGAAAATAATAGTAAAATAAAAGAATCAGGATGCTGAATATTTTTATTCGACAATAGAAATGATTAATGTTATTGAGCTTCAATACTTTACATTAACTATTAGTTTCAAGAAAACCACCTCAATCTGCCTATTAGTGCCTAACAAAAGCTGTTTGTTCATAACATATAGAATTATGTTATGGATATAGTGGATAGTTGTAATTATTTTATTTTTCAATTATTACTGAAAGAATGAAAATATAATATATAGTATATCAAGTTGCTGAATATGTCATCAAAGTAGCTCCAAGTATTAGGCCATAAATTATGCTAAGTTAATTCTACTTTCATTATTTATTTGTTTGATTTTAATGATAATCAATTAAAAGAAGGGAAAATAGGAGCATTATAGTTAATTATATATGACAAGTGGATTCATTTTATATTTAATATGATTGTAATGCTAACAAAAGTACTAAGACAACTAATAACTATTAGTTACTTATATAATTAATTAAGTGTTGTGTACCTAAATATTGTGGTCATGAAAGTCAATATAATAATGACCTAAGAGAAAAGCTAAAGGGATAAAACAAATTCATATAACATCTAAAATTAATTAAAAAGAAAAAATGACAAATAAATGACATTTGCAAATTGACTTTTGTCCACAATTTGTACACTCACCTTTTAGTCATCCATAGCTACAAAGGAGAAAACTTATACACATCATTTTATCATGTTTTAATTTATATGACATCTAATAATTTATATGACATCTAATTTATTGAAGAGTTAAACAATGATATAATAAATGTAATTGCTCTTATTTTAATCATAAATTAAGTTCAAATTTTAAATATAAAATATTTTTTTCAAACAAAATATTAATTAATACAATCCAAATTAATTAGACTTTAATACGTTTAATATACAAACAAACACTCCAAACTGACTATTTTGTCCTATTTTTTACAAAATACGCAGCATCACGTATATGTTGCCACCACCGCCATTACGTGTCCAACAAAAAACTCCTATATATAGTCCCCCTTCTTCCTTTCTTCTTCATCAAAAAAAAAAAGAAAAAAAATCCCCAATCTCCAATGGCAAAATCCACAAAAATTCTCTCATCAATCCTCATTCTCTTCTTCATTTTCAGTCTATTTTCTTCATCAAACGCATTAGGCGGAAAGCTCGGCGGAAGAACACAAATCAAAAACGTGAAAACAAATCAGGAAATTCAAGATCTAGGTAAGTACTGTGTCGAAGAACACAACAGAGATTTGCGGCATATCAATGGTGCTTTGAGTTCTTTATTGAGTTTTTCTCAAGTTGTTGAAGCAGAAAAACAAGTTGTTTCTGGTGTTAAATATTATCTAAAAATCTCAGCTATTGTTAAATCATCTAGCTCACCAAAATTGTTCGATGCTGTTGTTGTTGTTAAAGCTTGGGAGAAGAAGAAGGAATTGCTTACGTTTTCTCCTTCTCCTTCACCGGCTACAAAGTGAATTTTCGATGGTTGATAGTGGCTAAAAGTTAAAACTTCTAGTAGTGCTAATGTTGTTTAATCTAATTTTGAAGTACTTTAATTTGTAGCCTTTTTATTTTTTTTAACCTATTTTGAGTTCTCTTGTGTACTATGTGATGCAATAATCAATGAATGACATATGTATTAGTATGTTATTATAGATAAATTATGCTATCTCTAGTTACTATATCAAATCTCGAAATATTTCATTAATTGATTCTAGGAAATATCATCACCTCCTAATGCAAAGGAGAAGGAAATGAGTAATATTTAGACAAAAAAATGAAGGAAACAAACACAATGTGTTGATATATTAGGGGCATTGGATGCCTCCATTAATAATTTAACAGAAAAATGTCAAAGACAAGCTGATGAATAAAGATGCACAACAATAGGACTCCTTACATTTCATTGACCACCCAATTTTTGAACTTAACAGCTATCCATCACCCCTCTCTCACTCTTATTCTTGTACGTTTTCACATTCAAGCCAAACAAGACACTGGGTGAGTCTTGTCATTTGCAACTAATGAACTTCCATCGAGAGTTTCCAGTAGCACGAATGGGCAAAATGTGCTGAGACTTGAACCACATTTGAACAAACACCTAAATGCAGTAGTAATTTATATACTTGTATATAAAAGGGAATTTATGTTCTCTTCCTTCCCTAAGAAAAACTCTCGAGTGTGATTCTCGGTCACTTTGAAGGGCTGGCCGGAGCAATAGAGATTCCACATCTATCGGAGAAACTGCACGATCCACAATAATAATTCAGATGCCCTTGACAGATATCTCCAACTGCTCGATCCTTTTGGCTAGATCGTGCTTTCCACAATTCTTCAATCCATCTGTCACCGTGTCAAAGCTTCGTGACATAGGCAACAAATTTAACTCCGTCATCTCTACTAAATAATTAGATGCCTCTACAAATCTACCTCCACGACAGCACATCTTTATCAACATGGTATAAAGAGGTCGATTTGGTGGATGCCCTTTCACCTTCATATCACTGAAAAAGCTAAATGCATCATCAAACTGTCCTCTCCGGAAGAAAGCTTTTAGAATTGGAGCATATAAACTGGGAAATGGCCGATGTCCAGCTTCAATGGACCTATGAAGAATCTGAAATGCCTCATCAATCCTACCAGCCTTTGCTGCAGCAGTTATGACAATCTTATAAGTCTCAGTATCAGGACAAAGCCCCAATCTACAAACATCATTGAAAAGGTCAATGCAAAAGTCGATTTCCCCAGTTTTACATACAGCCTCTGCCAAAGAATTGAATGTTCCAACATCTGGCACAAACCCCTCCTTTGTCATTTTTCTCACCAATCCTTTAGCTGATTCTAGATATCCAGCGCTGAGCAACCCGTCAATTAGCAGGTCCCTCCCACGTACAGGAGGATTGAAGCCCTTTCGACTCATTTCCTCCAAGAACTCTTGTGCCTCTCTCATCTTCCCGGCAGAACACCAGCCATTTACAAGAATAGAATATGTCAGCTTATCTGGAACAGTACCTTTCCGTATCATCCTCCGAATCAATGCATAGGCCCCTTGGAAATTCTTGACCTCACAGAGTGCGAAAAGCATAGCATTGTATACTTCAGTAGTTTGAGAACAGCCGAAGTTCTTGAGCCGATTGAAGAGCTCGACAGCCTGATCAATGAGACCACGCTTCCCATAGTGTTCAATAATGAATGAAACAATGGACGGTGAGATAGGAATATTTTGGGCTTTCATCTGCTGGACTACTTTCCACATTGTCTCCCAGTGGGCAGTCCGGGCAAGGGTCTTAAGAAGTTCTTCAAACTCTACGGTAGTTGGATCATACTGAGGGTGTTGAGTCCGAGCCCAGTTAAAGAAACGAAAAGATTCGATACCATGCTGGCAACAACTTCGAAGCACACGGTACACCAGTTCAGAGTTGACAATTCTTGAAATATGCATCTTGTTAAGAGTCCGCTCCAGGTAAATATCCCGTCGTACAATGTTAGATACATGATGAATTGTTGCAAAGTAGTCATCATTAGGCACACTTCTGCCACAACTACCTTTACCGCTGAAAGGATTGCTGCACTGGTCGATGGAAGGTGCTATAGTTTTAATACATCTAAAAATGCTGGTGTTGTTGGTGAATGTAGTCGACGAATACAAAGTCCTGATTCTGGCAAACGTCGAAAACATTCCTGAGTAGCAAATTGGTTCAAATCCAATTGAGATAAACTAAAACTCAACTATTTGGAATTCCAGCTGAATCAACTATGCTAAAAGCACATAGAATGCAGCTACATCAAACTCGAGTCCTACAAATTACATTGAAAATTCAGCAAAATCCTTCAAACCAAAATTGGACGAAGTACATAAAAATCTACTTGCATGCATGAGTGTTTCCACCAAACCAATGAAATGAATGTCAGCTACTTTCATAGTTGCATATAAACAAATAACAATGGTTTATTAATTCATATTTTCACTTTATATAATTGAGTTGGTTTTGTGTAAACAACCTGAGAGTAAGTACTCACCACAGAATTTCATGAAGTCACAAAAAACAAATAAAGTTGCAATTTTTATTCATACAACTAATCAGATAAACTTAATACTAAGCACCCAAAAACAAGACAACAGAGGAATGAAGAGTAAGTTTCTGCATAAATCACAGGTAGAATTCTGAACAGATAACAAAAATCGAAGAGCTGCAGCTTATATACTGCAGAAATTACCACTAAGAAGTGGACTTTATGGTTTTGGTCTTCTAAGGATCCACTATTGGAGTTCAATCCGTAGATCATATTGTTTGATTTAGAAGTATACCTTTAGCGGCTACTTTCTTACGCAAGAATGTGGTTATGGTATTCAATTCAACCAAAGGCAAAATGAGTAGTTTGTATCTCATCAGAAAATTTCTTAAAATATGAAAAATTACAGATTTGGTTCAGTGAGGAATTTTGACAAACACTTGGGGGGCTAAAATTCATATATTGGGGGGGCTCTAAAGCTCATTTAGAGCTAAAATAAATTACACACGATAAACTAGAACCCATAATTATACAGAAGCCTAGAGAAGTAAGGAACTCACCCGTAAAATTCGTGCAGAAGCTTCAATGGAGGTTCTATCGAGTCGCTACAACTATAGACATCAAACTCAATGTGGGACGAGAGATTCTCCTTCTGTTCGATTTTATACGTCACGTTTTTACTTTACACTTAATAATCAAAAAAGTTCCGTGTGAAAAATATCAATTAATCCATAATCGAGGGCACATTATAATTAATTCTTTCCAACTTCCAACAAAAGACATTTTATTTCGCGTTTTTATTTAATTTTTTTTCTTTGGCCAAACCCAACAAGTTATAGAGCAAGAGAAACAAACACAAATGTGTTGAGATTTACTAGGGATGCCTGCATAAACTCGACTGAAAATGTCAAAACACAAGTTTGTGACTTGATACATTTTATTCACCATCCAAACTTTGAACTCTACAGCTAACCACCACCCTTCTCCCTCCGGTCTCTCTATCACTCTTGTGCATTTTCACATTCAAGCAAAACGAGTCTTGTCTCGAGTATTGACATTTGCATGCACTTGAGCAACTACTGAACTTTCATCGAGAGTTTCCAGTGCCACGAATGGGCAAAATATGCTGAGACTTGAACCACATTTGAACAAACACCTAAATGCAGTAGTAATTTATATACTTGTATATAAAAATAGGAATTTAACTTCTCTTGTTTTATGTACAACCATGTTCCCTGCTACATCTAGCGGTCAAAAGGAAATTCTGAGTCATTCTCGGTCACTTGGAAGGGCTGAGGATGCTGGCCGGAGCAATAGAGATTCCACATCTTAAAGTAAGAACGTTCCAGATTCCTCACCTGAAAATGCAAAATGAGAATGAATGAAAATTCTAGAATCAACAAGGTCGTGCAGTAAAGTAAATCTTACTCACCCAACGTGTTGTATCAAATAAAGGGCAACTCATTCGTACAGCCTTGAGTCTATTGGTGAGATCTTGGAGCTTTGGACGATTGAGTGCCAGTGACACCGCCTTCTCCTCATATTCCTTCATACTGCAAAGTAACAGAATTAAGGAAAGAAAAAGTAAAAAGGACAACTATCATTTATGTTGCAACATCTAAGTCACTCATTAAGCACTTGTCCTTGAGTCGAGGTACTATCGGTCATACCCTTCCCAGCGATTACATCAAGTATACAACACATACCTGCTGACAATCATCTCAGCACCAAGTCCTGTCGCCAAACACAGAGAGCCAGCAACTCTAGTAGCCATCTTCTCAAGGGGAAGGGTTACCATTGGTAGACCAGCCCAAAGAACATCAGTTCCTGTGGTATGTGCATTGCACAGTGGCCTACAAGTGAGAAAAAACCACACCAAAATTCAAGTAAATGAAATGTAACGGAACAAGATTCTTGAAAGACAAGCTGAATGTTCTTAATCTTCTTACGTGTCCAAGAAAAGATCAGCCAAGGAGCTGCGCTTGATGTGCTCTTGTTTCATTGCAACATCTGTGAAAATAATTTGGTCTGGTTGCAGGCCTTGGGCAGCAGCATCTGTAATAAAATGAGCTGAATTAGGAGACTCTTCATAAACCAGCAAGTCTCACAAAAGAAGATTAGAGAAATGCATGGTATGGAAGAAAATACTTACGTGCGCGGAGCCTCATCTCTCCTGCAGCTGGAAATCTGAGAAGCCAAAGAGCACTGTTTGGTACACGCTTAAGGATATTGCACCTGCACATACCAACTCAGCAAGTTTTTTAGCAAGTGCTTGTGAGGGTAAAAGTAGACCAATTCAAATCATTCCAAGTAACTACCATGTAATAAAAATCTCAGGATCCATCTTGTAAAGCTGATTAAAACATGCAAATATGAATTTATCCTCCGGCAGCCCATAATCTGAGCGCTTCAGTTGGCTGTTTGGATCTAGCACGTCACAGTTTTTCTACAAAAAACAGCAGCAAGAAACCCATCAGCAGTGAAAAATAAACAAATCCAGAAGAGTTCAACATACCTCAGATCTTTTTTTAAGAAATTTATAAGATTTTTGTTCATGATCAAATAACTAAATATTATCTAATATTGGCTACAAATGACCTACTGCGAGAAGAGATGAAAAAAATACAAATAGCCTACTCCAACTATGAATTTGGGCTCAAGGCATAATTGATTCATTTTAAAATAAGATTCATACACAGCTCAGAAAGATCACGGGCAACTTACTTGCTTATAATCGTTGACAAAATAGCAATGAGGGAGATGTACAAGCTTCTCTGAGTAAATATGTGCATACTTCATAGGTGAAACGAACTGCATACAAGGAAATTGCATCAAGGACCCATAGAGAGCAAAGGTTAACAGCAAATATGTAATATCAAGGGTGTCATTAGCAAATTACCTCATCTGTAACCAAATAATCTATGTATGTTGCTCCTGTGGTTCCAGGGAAACCCATGTATGAAACCTGGATTGGAGCTGGCTGCATGGCGAATATCTCGTTTCTTGCCCCCTGCAACACACAAGTCCGAAGTCAAAGATGACACATTAGATAAACGAAGTCGTTCAAAAAATAACTCTCAGGATAGAAGGCAAAGCAAAATATGGGCACATTAATCAGCATCTACAAAAAGGTGAAAGATGTAACACATATTTTTGGCTTAAAACAACAATTATAGGATATAGGACCAACAAAATGTGTACCTCATGAGACAGTGAGACCTGTTTGACAGGTTTGCACTTTAGTTAGGCAATATCCTTATTATACTCATTTGCTCAAACCAGTCGTGGCTGATCAAATTCTCATTGGTAAGTATTCGAGTTTGCATTCATATCCACAACTTAGCTTAACCGAGATGGCACAGAAATCATTGATTTATTTGTTTATTGTGGATTATTTCCAAGAAAGGAAACTACTTTTTCCATCCCATTTCTTTTCATTATGTTAATGGGTCTAGCATATGGGCCCTGTGCATGGACTGGGCACACACAAACAACACTAGCAAAAAAAGAAAAATATAAAATCTAATTAGGATTGATCTGGATTGAGTCTCAATCTGTACCTTGGTATAACCATTGAGATTGATAAGTATCTGTATTTGATCCTCATTAATCATCCTTGCTATCACATCAGATGTCAAGGACGATACATCAATAAAATGCTCAGCTTCTGTCTGAGTGCGAATCCTCCACTCTGTACCATCATTTGGACTTAAAGCATAGCAGAACACCTAGGAAAAGAAGTACTTGGAGATTTAGCATGAACAAGTGGTGAAGTCGTGAATGGTAAAAAGGATAAGGAAAAGTAACAAATTAACTTAACCTCAACGTTCTCTTTGTCATGCATCCCAAAAACGGAACCCATTAGATGTGATAGTGGATGGTTGCCAAAATCACTGCTCACATATCTAAAAACATTTAAGAAACTTATTAGTAAGTAGCATGTAGCAATATTCATGAAAAGCTTACAGCAGATCTGAACCTCAAGAGGAAAAGCAAGCAAGTATTTATCAGCTTATGGAACTTACCCAACCCTCAGCCTGTTGATCCTGCCACCTCCTTTAATTGGCAGCGGCGGTGGATGGGTGAAGGGAGGAAGTGAGTAGCGAGTTGCTACCACAGAGCAGTGCTGGGCATACTTGCAACTTTACAAGCAAAAGAAACAGTCAGCTTCAACCTCACATCATTTTTGTGATTGATTCAAAAGAAAATTCCGCACCTGATATCTAGAGCAAGCATTGGATCAAGAGGGTAGGCAATTGCATGGAAAGGCTGAACGCTTGGGATAATGGACATCTTAAGGACAAATATGAGACGGCACAACATTAAGAAAAAAAGAATCAGTATTGCAGGATGAAAAAATATCCAACTAAGTAAACATGTAACAGTACGGCGAGTAACTGTGATACCTTAATTTGTCTTCTTAGTATCCCCTCAACTTCAATAAACATCTTCTCCCGGTTATCCCAATCACACACACACTGCAGCAATAAATTTAAAGAGAAAATTAAGTATGCAAGAGATAGAACCCAATCACAGTCATCAATTGTGAATCTATAAATTAAGACTAAAAGACCTGGTGACAATCTCAAAAGCACATATTATTTGATGAAACCAATTACATGTTCTAGGTGATGCACATGATTTCTTACAGAGTCACTTGCTTGATTAATTGCTCAACAAATTTTAAAATTTCTTTGTGAAACGGTGATTGGTAACAGTGATAAATAACGCAAGGTAAATACAGTAGTACCGATAAGAAGCTTAAGATTAAAATTAAGCAAACCGAGCATGACATGAATTGTGTGCCTACACTTACAAAGTAGACAAATACTACTATGAACTGCAGAAGTATAGTTCATTAGGCAGGTTATTTTACCTCATGCTTCAAGACATTACATAAAAAAGCTCATCAAATTCTCAGTAGTTAGACAGTGCGGGAACTCTGATAAACCCAAGACAAAAGAAAACAGTGGAAATTAACAGGGTGAACGTACCTGTAACGTGTGGAGAAGATTACAAGTTGCTTCGGGGAAGTCAGGACGTAGCATCAAAGCTTGTCTATAGCTTTTTATGGCTGCTTCAACATTGCCACTACACAATTAACCAAAACATCACAAACAAACAGAGTGGACATGTAGGAGAAGAAGCAAATTGGACCTTCATCCTTTTGAAGCTTATAAACCTAAAAACATACCTGTCCTTGTAAGCAGAAGCCAAATTTGCATGAGCCTCTGCCATGGTAGGTCTAACGGTAATAGCTCGCATGTAATCTTGTACAGCTTCATTAACCCTACCAATCTCTTTGTATGTGTTGCCTCTATTGACCAGCCCATCTGCTGCCATGGGGTCAATACGTAGTACCTCATTATAGCACGATATGGCTTCTGCATAATTTCCCTGAAGTTACATCACATAAGAAGAGAACATTCATGTTAGTTAAAACGCTGACAGAGAAACAGCAAGATAATTGAAAATAAAATAATCCCTCGTGGCTATCTTAAATATGGTATATAAACCTCCAGAAAACTCTCTAC